GGACAGAACAGCTTAGGAAGAGATGCAAATGCAAGATGCATGAGCTGGTATGACATCAGGCTTGTTCTTACACTAACTGTAAACAGCTTCAGCTTCAGCTTGATACAGTGAAAAGGAAATCTTCCCTAGGTAGCATACGACAATCAACAGGTGAAGACGGGCAGCATCTCTTGTTGATTCTGGGTGGCCTGTGGCATTCACAGAGTCAGACATATTATTTGACCATTCATCAAGCTCTGGCAAGTCTCTACATGGTTGTTTTGGAAGAATGGTCAAGTCAGAAGTTGGCTACTTTAGGCCGGGTGCGGTGGCTCATGCCTGTAATCCCAGCACTTTGAGAGGCTGACGTGGGCGGATCACTTGAGGCCAGGAGTTCAAGACCAGCCTGATCAACATGGCGAAACCCAATCTCTACAAAAAATACAAAAATTAGCCAGGCATGGTGGCACGTGCCTGTAGTCCCAGCTTCTTGGGAGGCTGAAGCAGGAGATCACTTGAACCCAGAAGGTGGAGGTTCCAGTGAGTTGAGATTGCACCAGTGCACTCCAGTCTGGGCAACAAAGCAAGCCAGACTTCCCAAAAAATAAAAAAGTACAACAAAACAAAGAGGCAAGCTAAAGTTCTACCTACCTATAGACTGGACATGGTGGCTCACATCTGTAATCCCAGTGTTTGGGGAGGCTAAGGCAGGAGGATCACTTGAGCCCAGGAGGTCAAGACCAGTGCAGGCAAAATAGCAAGGCACTGTCTCTACCAAAAATAAAGAAAACATTCCCAGCTATGAATACGTTATTCTTGAAACCTCTGATACCAGCAATAACAATTTAGCCTTGCTGGCTTTGGTCAGCAGTCATAGCAGCTAACAAAAGTGGTTTTGTCCACTAGAGGGAACCCAGCTTATCATATTGTTCCCTAAACAAACAGAGGCAGAGCAGTGAACAAAATAGGAAAGACAAACCTTTGCATAAGTGTAGGGGGCGTGTGTGTTGCATGCATGGGAAAGAAGGCAGGAAAATAATACAACTGTAGAGCTCGCCTTTCTGCCCTAGGTCACCTTAATATATTTGTATGAAGAAAGAAAACTGAATGCATTTCAAAGCATTGCATTTCCCTGTGCCAGATAGATAAAAAGGCAATATTCTATTTCAGCTAGTCTAAAAAAGTCTTCTATTTGTATAGAAGTCCTTAAGATTGCTCCGTATCTTACTAAAAATAGTTTATTTCCTTATGGGTCAGAGTTACTAGGCTTTGTTCGTAACAAGTGTTATCTGCACCTAGAAGTAACTACCTCCTGGGCACAAAGCAAAATGCATTAATGGAAAGTCTAAGAAATATTTAAAATTCATTAAATCAATGCTCAGAAGAACCACAGGTAAAGCTTTTAAGGCACCTATGAAGCAGAAACTCTCATTAACCTGTCAAGTGGTTTGTGAAACGAGGACAAATTAGCTTTTATTTCTAAGCCATTTCTTTAATTATGAAACAGTGAAGGATCTATTGTAGAAATTTCAAAAAACCCAAATAAGCTTAGGAAAAAAATTTGGGGGTTTTTGTTTGTTTTTTGAGACACTCTGTTGCCCACACTGTAGTGCAGTGGTATGATCTCGGTTCACTGCAACCTCTGCCTCCTGGATTCAAGCGATTCTCCTGCCTCAGTCTCCCAAGTAGCTGGGATTACAGGTGCCAGCCACCATACTCAGCTATTTTTCTGTATTTTTAGTAGAGATGGGGTTTCACCATGTTGACCAGGCTGGTCTCAAACTCCTGACCTCCAGAGATCTGCCTGCCTCCGCCTCTCAAAGTCCTGGGATTACAGGTATGAGCCACTACACCCAGCTAGAAAGTTTTGCTGTTTTTTTTTTTTAAAACAGAGCCTCACTCTGTCACCTAGGTTGGAGTGCAGTGGCATGATCTCGGCTCATCGTAACCTCCACCTTCAGGATTCAAGTGAGTCTCCTGCCCCAGTCTCTTGAGTAGCTTGGATTACAGGCATGCACCACCACTCCTGGCTAATTTTTGTAATTTTAGTAGAAATGAGATTTCCCCAAGTTGGCCAGGCTGGTCTTGAACTCTTGACCTCTGGTGATCCGCCAGCCTTGGCCTCCCAAAATGCTAGGATTGCAGGTATGAGACACCGCACCCGACCCAGAAAGTTTATAAAATCATTTTTAACCCCATCATCCAGAAGTAAGTACTATGTGTGTATGTATCTTTCTGGTTTTCTCTATGCATATAATCATCTACATGTTTAATATATGTAAATTAAATCTTCTAAACTATTTTCATTTCACATCTCTGTATATAAATACATGCATTTTAACATAAATATACACATTTATGTATTTATTGAGACAGGGTCTTGCTCTGTTGCCCAGGCTGGAATGCAGTGGTGCCATCATGGCTCACTGCACTCTTAAACTCCGGCCTCGGCCTCCTGAGTAGCTAGAACTAGAGGTGTGTACCACCACACTCAGCTATTTTTATTTTTCATTTTTTGTTGCCCAAGCTAGTCTTGAATTCCTAGGCATCAGTGATCCTCTGGTCTTGGCCTCCCAAAGTGCTGGGATTACAGGTGTGATCAGGCCTGACCACATTTATAAATTTTTTAATGGTTGTATAGAATTTCACTGAATGTACTGCACCGTAACTGACTTATGTTTTATTTTTAAAATTTATTTTTTTTGAGATGGACTGTCGCTCCATCGCCCAGGCTGGAATGGCATGATTTTGGCTCACTGCAACCTCCACCTACCTCCCGGGTTCAAGTGATTCTCCTGTCTCAGTCTCCTGAGTAGCTGGGATTACAGGCATGTGCCACCATGGCCAGCTAAATTTTGTATTTTCGTAGAGACTGGATTTCACCATGCTGGCCAGGCTGGTCTCAAATTTCTTACCTCAAGTAATCCACCTGCCTCGGCTTCCCAAACTGCTGAGATTACAGGAGTGACCTACGACACTCAGCTTTACATTTAAAAATGTTTATGAGCATTCCCTATTGTTGATATTTAATTTAGGTTGCTTCCAGTGAAAGGCCCTTTAAGGGCTACTCTCTTCCTATGTGACATTGTCCCAAAAGCAGCGCTGACACTTCCTCAGAAAAGCCTTCACTATAAAACACCAAGTACAGAGCCTAGCAAACACTCAGTCAATTTCGGCTTGAGTTCTTCTACCTCAGGCACCCACTGTGATTCTCTTCCAGTCTCTCACAGGTCTGTAGCCTCCTCCATCCAGCATTTGAACTCAGACTCACAAAAATCCCCCATTTCTTCTTTCTTCTCTCACAGCTGACTTTCCCATTGTATAAGAGTGAAGGGAAAACTTTCCAAATATCCTGATTGTGTAGGAGTGAAGGAAAAAATTCCCAAACAATCCCCAGGCCCCCAGCTGTCATTTCAAAAACACACGAGGCTGGATGTGGTAGCTCATGCCTGTAATCCCAGCACTTTGGGAGGCTGAGGTGGGTGGATCACCTGAGGTCAGGAGATCCACACCAGCCTGACCAACAAGGTAAAATCCCGCCTCTACTGAAAATACAAACATTAGCCAGGCATGGTGGTGGGTACCTGTAATCCCAGCTACTCAGGAGGCTAAGGCAGGAGAATCAATCGCTTGAACCTGGGATGCAGAGGCTGCAGTGAGCTGAGATCGTGCCACTACACCCCAGCCTGGGTGACAGAGTGAAACTCTGCCTCAAAAAAAGAAAAAAAAGAAAAGAAAAGGAAGGAAGGAAAGAAAGAGAAAGAGAAAGAAAGAAAGAAAGAAAGAAAGAAAGAAAGAAAGAAAGAAAGAAAGAAAGAAAAGAAAGGAGACAATACATAGGCCTTTATTTTAACAATTAAATTCCTGTTACTGCAGAAACTGTGTCCAACTCTCCTTCAAGTGCTGGAAGCAGCCAGGCTTGCAGTGGCATCCCGATGATCAAAACAATGCACTTGCCCCTCCCTCAGAAAGCATCCTACACACCACAAGGGTTAATGGGCTAATTCTTTATTATCTTTCCCATCCACATTCATCACAAGACACCCTGCCCAGGAAGGCAAGAATGAGATGTTATTGTTAAGACAGAATGAATGAGACAATGTGCAGTTCTGTTCTTCTGACCTGACAATGTGACCGAGGCAGGGGCTCTGTGACCAGAGAGGGGCCCTAGCTAGCCTCTGTGTGTCCCAGCACAGCTGCCTCCTTGTGCTGTGCAGAAACGAACCTGGCTCAGAAGTCTCTCATCCCAGATGCCTCGCCTTCAGGAGCATCAGAGGAAGCTGAGAAATTCGACATGCTGCCCAGAGCCCATGCTGCCTCTCAGCAGATCTCTTGGATCTAATTCCTGGCTGCCCTTTCCTAGCCCAGGTATCCCTAGGGCTGGAGTCATGATCAGTCTTTTCTTCTTTAATATATAAACAGTGATGAGAGTTTGGGAATGATGTGCCATCTGTACAAGGAGCTTGGGAAGAAGCTCAGTTGCTTGGATCTCTAATCATCAATCAGGTTTAGGAAAACTGAGGGTCATGGCATTTTTATACCATGCCAGTAACACATCCAGTCCCATCAAGAGCTGCATGGTCCCTCCAGGCACCGGGGAGGAGGTACTTCTGTAGAGGTATGTAGGAAAGGCAAAGGCATTTTTGTTCACTGGACTGCCACATGCTTCCCCACAGAAACTCTTCAAATGCATACTGTACTTTCTGGCAAAATCATGTCTCTCAGAGTTGATGATAAAGACTTTTCTCAAAGACCAGAGTCAGGAGCCAAAAGAAAAGGCCACAGAAGAAACCAGAATTCTTCTCTTGGAAGTTCAAAGTCTTGTTCTACCCACCAGCTTACATTAGGTTTCTAAAGCAAAGGAGTCTCAGGAAGTTGCTGGAGGTCATGAGAAGGGCAAGGATTTGTTTGTGGTACTTTTTTTTTTTCCATTCCAAACAAGTAAAACAGAAGAAAAACAAAATCCAGAACTCAAAATACAATTTCAGAGAACACCCCAGATTTCCCAAAGCCAGACTCACTCTGTAGCCACTATCTGGGGGATGGGTTCATCTAGCAGTTCCAAGCTGTGCAGAATCCAATAGCAGAGCCATGGGCGGCTGGCATCCAGACACTGGGAGAGACAGGAGAGAAAACAGCCCTTATTCACAATCACTCCAAGGCACTGCTGCCAAGGCCATATCTGTCGCACTCCCAGCAGCCTGGCAAAGGGGAGGAGGGCACCCTTGCTCAAACAACAATCAGTGAATAAAGGATACTTCACTTTGTGGCCTTAGCCAGGAGCTGAAATGACCATCTGTTACAAAAAAAAAGACAACAGGGCCAGGCACGGTGGCTCACACCTGTAATCCCAGCACTTTGGGAAGCTGAAGCGGGTGGATCATTTAAAGTCAGGAGTTCAAGACCAGCCTGGCCAACATGGCAAAACCCTGTCTCTATTAAAAATACAAAAATTAGCCAGGTGTGGTGATGTGCGCCTGTATTCCCAGCTATTTGGGAGGCCAAGGCAGGAGAATCACTTGAACCGGGGAGGCAGAGGTTGCAGTGAGTCAAGATCACACCACTGCATTCCAGCCTGGGTGACAGAGCAAGACTCTATCTCAAAAAAAAAAGAAAAGAAAAGAAAAAGACAACAGGATTAAAAAATGTGACCCTGAACCCAAAGGATCCCTCCCTGGCAGGCGTCTAAGGAAGGCTGAGCGGAGGACTTCTTTATAGGCCAGGAGGTTAGGGGCTGCTATTTTCTCAATGGAGAACCAAGGCAATATAAACGCTCTGAAGAGATTTCCTGGGTTAACTCAATCATTGTTTCAATAAATACCTGATACCATCTACTTGTGCCAAGCACTGTATTAGACACTGTGGGCATGATGATAAAATTTGGTTTCTACTCTTTATTTTTTCTGAGACAGGGTCTTGCTCTGTCACCCAGGCTAGAGTACAGTGGTATGATCTCAGCTCACTGCAGCCTCAACCTATTGGGCTCAAGCAATCGTCCCACCTCACCCTCCTAAGTAGCCTAAGTAGCTGTGGACTAGGGGCCCACACCACCATGCCTGGCTAATTTTTTAAGTTTTTATAGTGACAGGGTACCACTATCTTGCCCAGGCTGATCCTGAACTCCTGGGCTGAAGCAATTCAGCTGCCTCTGCCTCCCAAAGTGCTGAGATTACAGGTGTGAGCCATCATGACTGGCCTGGTTTCTGTTCTTGAGATGCTTGGGATATAGAACGCGTGTGGTTATCTATAGAGGAAGAGAGCACTGGACAGACATATAGGTTACCTTGTGTCTTTCTGGAGCAACACGTGTACATATACCTGGAGAAATGCTGTAATGGGCAGAAACAGAGTTTTGAGGGAGCACATGGAAGAGACTAATTCTCCCTTTCCTGGGGGAGCTAGGAAAGGCTTCCAAAGGTGATGGGCAGATACTTTTGATCCTAATTAAACCGCAAATAATTATTGAGCATTCAAGGCTAGGCAGGGTAGGTAGGAGTACTGCCCCAGTTTTATTAATTAAAATATATAAATGAGGTCCAGAGATTTAACTTTTTTCAGATTATAAAAATAGTAAATGTCAGAGCAGAGACAGGAACCTAGGCTTTTAGACTCAATCCAGTATTCTTTCTGTTGGTCCAAGCTGCTCTCTTCAAAACTGTGCTGACATCCCAAGCTGTGCCTAACTCGCCACCTGGAAGGCAGGCTGGTGGTCTACTGAAGACACTGCTGGGGATGCGGCCTAAGTTTGAATCCCAGCTCCTCATCTTACTAGCTATGTGCTTTTAAGCAAATGACTTAATCTTGCTTAATCTGTTTTATTATTTGCAAAAAACAAAAGATTGATCTACCTCATATAGTTACGAGAATTAAATAAGAGAATGCAGCCTGGCACAGTGGCTCATGCCTATAATCCCAGAACCTTGGGAGGCTGAGGCGGATGGATTGCTTGACGTCGGGAGTTTGAGACCAGTCTGGCCAACATGGTGAAACCCTGTCTCTACTAAAAATACAAAAATTAGCCAGGCTTGGTGGTGAACACCTGTAATCCTGGCCACTCAGGAGGCTGAGGCAGTAGAACTGCTTGAACCTGGGAGGTGGAGGTTGCAGTAAGCCAAGATCATGCCACTGCACTCCAGCCTGGGCAATAAAGCTTTTAGCACACCGTTCAATAAACTGTTAGCTAATATGGTACCAACTGTATCATAACCATTGAGGACTTGAGACAATGACAAAGCCCCACAGGGCAAATCTAGCCCATGGATGTGTACTGTTTAATTGGAAGTGGCTGTAACATTGTCAGGAGAGTCACATGAAAATATGGGTTTCCAGCTTCATTTGGAAGAAAAAAAAAATGATCTGGCAACCCTGGATCTGCATTCCTAGATGGCAGCAACAGGTGTGAACAAGGTAAGGGCATGGGGTCTCCAGTTAGCCTCAGTCTCCAAGCAGCCCACTTCACTGATTTATGCTGCCTGCCTGGGCCCTACAGGCACTTGAGTTGGTAAATCACTGCCACAAATAATCAAATGTGGAACCCAAACAAAAGCAGATTAAAAACAGAGATGCTGCTCTGTGTTAAGCAGGGCAGATAGACTGGAGCCTTCCTGTTCACATTCACCCTTTGCCTGCCACTCAACCCCTTCCAACATCTGTCCCTCTCCACCGCCACCCAGCCCTGAGGTTGCTCTGGGAAATACTTAAGATCTACTCTGAAATAGTAGTGTTAAACTGCAAGGAGCACCCTCTACACTGATCCTCTAATCAGGAGAGAAATTAGATCTTCTTATTACAAGTAAGGGGTTTTTGTCTCTTTAATGAAGATATGAAAATTAATGCTGCACTAGAAGGAGTGCTGAAGTTGGAAAATTTTTCATCATTATAATACATATTTAACAGGTTTGGGCAATAGTCCTGAAGAAATGTTAAAGCCAGAGAGCAAGAAATTAGATCAGCTTATAGGGCAAAGGGTTAAGGGTGAACAGATAACTGGCTTTTAGCTAGCTGTCAAGGGGGTCTAGATAAAGCATGTGATCTCCTCAACCAGGATCTAATAACAGAGAAAGCCCCATCCTATCTAAGGTGCTCCACTTGCTCTAGAAGAGACTGGGTTCTGCCCTTTCAGGGCTGAAGTCCCAGCTCTGTGACAACACCCTGCCTCCTGCCAAAACCACAGAGAAGAGTGACTCTGCAACAGGTCAGCCCCAACAGTCTTTAACGTTTAAATAGAAAAAAGGAGAAAGGGCACAGTGGCTCACACCTGTAATCCCAGTACTTTGAGAGGCCAAGGTGGGTGGATCACTTGAGGTCAAGAGTTCGAGACCAGCCTGACCAACACTGTGAAACCCCATCTCTACTACAAATGCAAAAATTAGCTGGGCATGGTGGTACACGCCTGTAATCCCAGCTACTCAGGAGGCTGAGGCAAAAGAATCGCTGGGACCCAAAAGGCGGAGGTTGTAGTAAACCGAGATTGCACCACTGCACTCCAGCCTGGCTGACAGAGTGAGACTCCATCTCAAAAAAAAAAAAGGAAAAGGAAAAGAGGACGATTTGGCAGATAATTTGACAGCAAGCATTCTCGGGCAATATGTTTACCTCATAGGCATCTGTCAGTTGTCGAAGGCCTCTTTTCAGATAATGGAAGTGCTTCTCTCTCTGCAAGATAAGCCTGGAAAGACAAACAGCTTATAAGCCCATTCCAATAGCTTATGCTTCCACCATACACATATACACACGTACACACACACAGGTACACACTCAGCTTCAGGACATTCCCCTACAGTCACTAAATGTTTAACCAGCAACTTCTTTGGTTCCAAAGAGCAACTAAACCAGAGAAAAGCATCTGAAAACTAGGTCAGCTGACATTTTGCATGAAATTGTCTCCTAAAGGCAGTGACTCTGGGCTAACGGAAAGCCGCAAGGAGCATATGCAGCCAGGCAATGAGAATCCACCCAGAAACTTCCTCCAGCCTCTAAAAACAGATATCTTTGTGGCTCCCCATCCTGTAAGCAATTTAATCTGAGCCTCGCCACTTCCCTGTCTTGGTTAGTCGCTGTCATTTCAGTCACCTCGTCTGGGACCACTTCTCCAAGGTCTGTAGTTTGTACTCTGCCCACCTCTGGGTTACCATCTATTATTCCCTCCCTGAAATTCCACCTCCCACGTGTGACCCACAGCCCTGGCCGGAAGACCGTATTCTGCAGCCAGTCACTGTCCTTGGCTCTGAAGTCAACAATACTGGCTTTAAGACGGAATGTGCCACCCATGTCCACCTGCACAGGCCCGGCAAAGCACAGAGGCTGCAATTCTTTCTTGGTCTGGCAGAAGCAGCCTGTGTGACTACAGAAGGAAGGAAAAAGCACAGATTATCAAGATGTTCCCTGCGCTTCCAGATTACAGAAACAAAGGAAAGAGAACCATTCCCTTTTCTAGGTATTCAATTCCACAATTGTTTATCAAACTCCCTCTGTACTAGGCTCAGAAGAAGATCCTTCATGTAGTCTTTTTTTTTCTTGCTCTGTTGCCCTGGCTGGAGTGCAATGGTACGATTTCAACTCACTGCAACCTCTGCCTCCCAGGTTCAAGCAGTTCTCCTGCCTCAGCCTCTGGAGTAGCTGGGATTACAGGCACAGGCCACCATGCCCAGCTAATTTTTGTATTTTTAGTAGAGAAGGGGTTTCACCATGTTGGCCAGGCTGGTCTCGAACTCCTGACCTCAGGTGATTCGCCCATTTCGACTTCCCAAAGAGCTGGGATTACAGGCGTGAGCCATCGCGCCCAGCCCTTCATGTATGTAGTCTTTACCTCAAAAACTCTTCCAGTTCAGAAATGAGTTAAGTATATAAATGGCTACAAAGAAAGAATGGGTAGGTTTTGTAAAGGAAAAACATAAAATACTACTGAGGCTCAAAAGGGAGGGGACATCTCATGAAGGAATGATCAGGAACGTTTGTGCGAAAAAGGAGGACTGTGAAATGAATGGCCCTGGTGGAGGAGAATATTTTAATTAAAGTTTAAATAGCTGCAGGTAGCTAATGGCTACTCTATTATGCGGCACAGGAAGAAAGTGTGCAAGAGGAGTGACAGGTGGGATAATCTGGTCTCAACACAGGGATGAAGAGGAATGGTAGAAAGGGAGCTGGGATCCTTTTGTTTATTTTTAACAAGGATCTGGGATGCTGGCTGAGGCATTTCTACTCAATTTACTAGGCAAAGGAAAATCCTGAAGGTTTCTAAGATAAGGAAAGAAATGATCAGAACTGTGCTTTAGGAAAACAGTAGGTACTCAGTATGTGTTTACAAATGGAAGTAACTGAAAGCACTGCAGTGGGCAGACAGATGGGGTGGGGAGACAGGTTAGAAGCTCTAAGGAGCTGACCCAGTGGGGGCTACTTAGGGCCCAAACTAGTGGGTGACCCATGATCAGCTGACTTTTGTACGTGCGGGTTTTAGGATGCTAGAAGTGCATTCAGGTGAGGATGCCAATCAGGCTGCTGGACGCACACGTGAGGCTCAGGAGAGGAATCCAGGTTACACACACAGACTGGAAGCATTTATCTGCACGCAAGTGACAAGTGAAGCCACAGAAGGTGAGAGGGCAGAGAGAGAAGTCTGAAAACAAAACTGTGGGAAGACCCATCTCTAAGGGCCTGGAGGAGGACGAGGAGCCAGTGAAGGAGAGAAACAGGAGAGTTTACATACGCTGGGGAAGAGCAAAGTAAGAGTCATGTCACAGGCCATCAGGGAGGAGAGAATTTCAGGGAGGTGTTTAACAGTGGCAGATGCTGCAGCAAGACTGAGGGAAAAGATGACAAACCACAGAAAGGCTGGAGACCTTGGAGAGCAATCAGAGCAGAGGTGAAGGCAAATTGTAAACAAGAGGAGAAGGTCAGATGAAGTTTCTCTTTCAGGAAAGTCCACTCGGGACACAGGGAACACCCATCTGTGTGGGCAGAGTGTCCAGCACTGGGGTAGAGGTTGCTCTGTCCCCTAGAGCAACAGTCCAGAGGTGGACACAGAAGTGAAAATGACAAGTAGAGCCCTGTCCAATAAATGCTGTGATCAGCCACAGGAAGACATGGAGGGTCAGGAAACTCTTCCCAAAGGGAACAGCATTGAGGCTAAGGCTGGAAGGACAAGAGTAAGGCAGGCAAAATGAAGAAACCATCATGACACATTTGAGTTAGTTTAGTTCAGCTGGAGCAAAAGTATAAGGCAGTAAGCAGAGAAATTCTACACTAAAAATGCAAGAACCCAGAGGAAATCCATCAGGGAAGGTCAGTAAAGAGGACAGAGGAGGGCTGCAATGAGGGTATAGCAGAGAGATGACCCTGGAATAAGGAAGGAGTCTACATTTTCAGAGCAAGAAATGATGCATACAAAGCTAGCAAAATATAGGAATATGATGTGGGAAGGAGGAAACAGCAAACTCAGGTGGGTCAGCCTTGATTTTCTCAGGAACCAGGAGTCAGGATGGTGGGAGAGGGCGGGGCGTGATGGCTCACACCTGTAATCCCAGCACTTTGGGAGGCTGACAGGCGGTTCACCTGAGGTCAGGAGTTCAAGACCAGCCTGACCAACACGAAGAAACCTTGTCTTTACTAAAAATACAAAATCAGCTGGGTAGGGTGGCATGCGCCTGTAATCCCAGCTACAAAAAAAAAAAGGTGGGAGAGCTGTGGTCACGGTGGTGGATATGTTAGGGAATCTACATCAGATGAATAAAAGGATTAGAAGGCAGTTAGTGAGGGGCCAGTGAGATTAAGAAGTATAACATGTTGGTGAAGCCAGCCTGCAGCCTCAGGAGAAACCAAACCTGCGGACACATTGGTCTTACTTCTGGCATCCAGAACTGTAAGAAAATAAGTCTCTGTGGTTGAATGCACCCCATCTGTGATACTGTGTTACAGCAGCCCAAGCTGACTAATCCCCTCACAGGCTCTTCATTCTTAACTCACCTCTATCCAAAAATCTTTTCTGTGTAGGAGGTTAAGAAAAGCTGAAGGTATTCTCCTTTTTACCTGAACAATTCAGCCCCAAAGCCACTCAATTACCTGGAGCAGAACAAGACCAGCTTCGTGCAGGGGTTGAGGGAGTGCAGGGTGGGATGCACAGGGTCAGCTCAAGTGGATAAGGAGGGCCCTGTGTCACTGTGCAGAGGGGGACAGGAGAGCAAGTGGGTAAATCTACTAAGGCTATGGGAAGTCAGGTTTCCACAGTCTGAGAAGGAATTTGCACACCTGTGTGTACTGGGTAATGATGTAAATAGTACTTCTTATGAGGGGTGAGCCTACTGGGCTTCAGGCTCTTCGAAGTGCGCCTCCACCCACAGTGCTCTCCAACCCCATCTCTGGCCTCACCAAGCTCCGCTCCTTTTGGTCTCCTGGCTTTAGCACATGCTGTTCCCTCTGACTGGAACACTCTCCACATCCCTTAAGTTAGCCACTCCATTCCACCTACAGATTCAGCTTAAATGTCACTTTCTCTAAGAAGCCTTCCCTAACTTCCCAACCAAAATTAGATTCTCCCTGTGATTCTCTCTCTCAAACTATCCCATTGGTAACTGCATATTTGTGTTCATTTGTTTAATGTCCACCTCCCCAACTAGACCAAGAGCCCAGCGGGGGCAGGCCCAGGGCTAGCCTTGCTCACATCGGCTTCCCTGAGCCCAGTAGAGTGTCCTGTCCTTTGAAGACCCTCTGGATACTTGCTGAATGAGTGGATCACATGAAGGTAGCAGAATGGAATGAGAGCAAACCCACTTCCTCCCCAAAAACCAGGGCCATCCCAAGAATCATGCATTTGATTGTGACAGATGAGAGGACAGGAGATTCAGTCTACTGTTGGTTCCTGGGGACTTTCTAAACCCACTAAAGCCAGGGCCTCTCTACTCAGAAAATAAGCACCTGGCATGTAAGTAATAAACGAATCGAGGAAAGGTGAACTTATTTATAAGACCTTGGAAAGAACAACAGTAAGGAGAACAATCCAAGATGGCTGATCACTAACATTTTGGGATTGCAGCTCCCAGTGAAAGCGCAGAGAACGAGAGGATGCCACACTTTCAGACAAATTTTTGTCGCTCATGGACTAGAAGATTCCCAGTGGAGGAGCCCCACGGGTCGCCAGCGCGACTCTTGTGGCTGGCGCAGCGGTTTTGCCGGCACCTCGGTGCAGCAGCTCTTGGTGCAGAGTAAACGGAACTGGTTCCCCTTCTGACCAACGTTTGGAGCTCCGGGAAGGCAGAGTTGCCTATTACGGACTCAAGAAGGAAGCCAGACTGGAGATTCCCAGGCAGAAAAGCACCATCAGTCTTAACGCCGCTGTTTTGGCCGGCGCAGTGGGTTGCTCAGATTTCGGCCCTGGGAATTAGCAACTTGGATGTCCACTCAGAGACCTAATTTGAAAGTTGGTAATTACAAAGACGACAAGTGGATAAATTTACAATGATGGGAAGAAACCAGCGTAAAAAGGCTGAGAATACTCAAAATCAGAATGCCTCTCCCTCTAAAGAGGATCACAGTTCCTCATCAACAAGGGAACAAGGCTTGATGGAGAACGAGTGCATTCCATTAACAGAATCAGACTTCAGAAGGTGGATAATAAGAAACTTCTGTGAGTTAAAAGAACATGTTGTAGCCCAATGTAAAGAAACTAAGAACTTT